TGACTGCATGCACAAAGTGACATCATCATGATGCAAGTTAACCCAGTTTCATACATGTTGTCATTGTGATGGTGTCATCAGGCACATGTCATCATTTGTTCCCTGTGGCCCTCCTCCCCCCAGGATATCCATGTGTAGCATGGATGTAAGACTGCCCAACTTTCCCACTGTCATGATATAGTCTTCCTTTATCTGACACTTTCCAACTTCTATTAGGACTGCACCTCCCACAATTCACAGTCTGCTGTAGCCCCAACACCTCTGGAGGACTCCAGGTTGTCAGCATATGAATGCATGTTCTGATTGTTTTCAGAGGAGACAATTTAGTGGTTTCCAGCAAGGCAGACCAAGCTATTTTGCTTCTAGTGCAAACAATTCATGGTAAGTCCTTTACCCTCTGCCCCACTCTATGCAAAGAGAATGGACAGACTGATACATAAGGACATAGGAAGAACCCTGCTGGATCAAGTAAACAAAATAGTGTTCTAGATCCAACCAGATGCTTCTAGGAAGGGCTCAAGTAGAATGAGAGACCAATAGCTCACAACTGGTATTGACAGTCTGGCCAGACTGATATAACACATCAACCACGGTGTGAGGCGTAAGCTGGGAGCCAGCAGTTCTCAGGGCAGAGAAGTCAGTTATGTCAACAAACCCTCAGCTTCAGAACCTTAAAGCAAAGAGGAACTGCATCCTCTTGCTGACAGCAGGTCACTGGGGCTCCATTCTACCTGGCAACAAAGATTTTTGTCTAGTTGCGGTGTGTCATGTGCCTGAGAGACTTCGGGGAATCCAAACTAAGCAGCCCTATTAAGCTGCCTGAAGATGTGGGGCTGAGATTTATCGCTGAGTCCTAGTGCAGAGAGCCAGACTCATGGTTTATAAATCCCAAGTCTGGGTTCAGACTACATTTAACAAATCACATTATGGTTAGTGCAATGTAGGTCCAGGAGATTCCAGACATCAACCTTGCTGGACTTCTGCAGCAAATAAATAGATTGATGTCAAAGACTAGCCAGCATTGTGATCACACTTGTCTTTGCGGATTACATCCCCTGAGAATGTGGAAATAATCCTTATAAATGTATGTTTATACATTATATACCCACATGTATATAAATATATGGACTTGGCAAGAAGAGAACATGGACCTGTGTATGCATATTCCCATGTTACGGCGTGATGGAGTTACGGTCTCTGCCTTCTATCTCCCTTGCAGCATTCTCATAAATCCTTCATTCTCCCTGAATGTTACACTAATGAGGTGGCCCACTTATACAATAAGAGGCTTTTATACATGGTTAATCAGTCCCAGAAGCCCATGAACTTCTCTGCTATGCGTTCCTCCAAGCCAAATCTACTTGGCCGCGGCTCTGTCTCTCTTCCATCCCCTCATTTGCCTTTTGTCTTTTTTTTTTTTCCATGGGATCCCTTCCCCGGTTTGTGCTGACCTAATTAAGAAGCCCTCCTGAGCAATGCCCTGGGATGGCTTAATCCCAACCCAGCGTTTCTACGGGATGTTTGTCAGGAGTTCTCTTTGATCCTCTCCAGTCCCACTTGCTTCTCTGCAGCCTGTTGGGTTTTCTCCCTCTTTGCTTCAGGATTTCACACAGAGATCTTCCTGGAGCAGCTTGGCGTCCTTTGTGAGTATTTCGTTCGCTTTGCAAGGTGGCCAGCATTGCTTCTGTTTCTGCACCCAAAGATGCCTCAGCTTTACTGAACTTTTTTTTTTTTTAAGAAAAGGAGCTGTGATGGAGCCAAAGGCTAGCATTTCTATATCCCAGTGAAACCATGCAGAAATTCAATTCACTGTGTACGGTCTTTTATTGAGTCAGAATATTTGTCCCCTGGCTCAACAATATCCATGGTCGAGGTCTTTCCCATGGCTGTATTTCAATTTGTTTTCAGGGTTGATGCCAGGCAGGAAATCCAGCTGCTTCTGCATTCAAACATTTGTTCCATACCAGCAATGATTCTAGCAGCCAATTCCTACATAGGCTTCCTTAGAAGTATGCCACCACATTTAATGAGACTTGCTTCATGTAGACTGAAGAATCAGTGGGGTCTTCCAGATGTACCTATTTCCAGCTTGGCCTAATGTTTTATTGTCAAAAGACTTGGAGAAGCCATCCTGCACCTCTGCCAAAGTGGCTACTCATTTATAAAAACCTTGGCTTTCAAAAGCCTGTCAGATGCCACAAGACTGTGGTTTTGTCTTGGCTGAAGGAGCCCAGTGTAGGTAGCCATGTGTAACTCTGCAGCAGATGACCGGGTTTGCATATTGCATTCGATACTATGCACCTTGATTGGTTTTGACTTAGTGTAGTGTGTAAACCCAGCCCGTCTGGTTTCTGTGTTGTAATCTATGGCTTAATGTGCTATGCATTCAGTCAGTTTTGGCTTTCTTCAACAAACACAGGATAACAAACATGTATGAACTCAGACTGAGCCTTTGCGCCTTTTTCACTTGGGCTGCATTGTATGGAGGAATTATCCTAGTTATTTAATGACAAAGTATCAATCACATACAAAATTCTGAGAGAAAGCAATCCAATCACCATCCTCAACACCCAAAAATAAGCGTTTCCAAAATGTTATGCGAATGAAAGAGCAAAAGCATAGCTGTCACAAATAAATTATATGAGCAACATAAGGAAGCTGCATTTTGTGACTGCAAGTCACACCTCTCTTTCTTTGCCGTTTATTTGTCTTCCAGACTTTGTCATAACAGGCAGGGACAGAAAGTTCTTTGTTCCAAGAGTGTACCATTTTCAGTTTGGCCATCGCCAACAGTGAAACTAAATCTATATGCAGAACTGTTCTATGTGAATCTTGGAAAAAAGTAACAATAAGAAGATCTATCTGGCCAATGATTTATCATTGTTGGTGTTGTCAACTTCCTTATTCTGTTTTTAAATAAAAAGGCACATTATTGTTGTTCTTGTTGGTCACACAGTCAGCCAGTTGTTTAGACTGGATTTGGCATTTTTATACACCTATTGAGTCCTTCATTATTATTATTATTGTTGTTGTTGTTGTTGTTGTTATTAATATTATTGTTGTTGTTGTTATTGAAAAAAGCCACACATAAGTTGAATCAGCTAGTTAGGCAGAGAGAGATAGAGACTTGAGTAAGTAGTGAGAAGATCTGTCTCTCACACTCAGGATCAGCCCTCCAAGGTAGACCAGACTAGAAAACCAAAGTTATGAATGCTAATACTACTTTTATAATAAAGGTATAATAACAGAATCTTGCAAGTCTGAACACACATTCCCCTCTCCCCCCCCCCCCTTTATCTTCATGAGAACTAAGGAGGGTCAAGTCTGAGCTGATTTCTCAAATTACATTTCTGCCTTGGACTAAAATTTCTTTTATCTGATCATTGGCTTGGTTGCAGCTCTTCCTTCTGTTCCTCAAGGTTATTTCTTCTGCCCGTTGTATTCCTTAACTGTGTTAAACAGATAGGGCTTGAAGAGAAAGGTTATGTAATAGTATGTGGAAAAGACCTTGAGAGACAGGGCGAAGAGATGCTGCCTAGGGAATAGTCAGATAAGAGAGGGCATAGCCCACAGCTGCATAATGGAAAGAGAAAGAGGCTCAGAAGGGAGCCTCCCTAACTTCTCAGGCTGTAAAGGAGATGGTGGGAGATTCAGCCTTAGAAGTTAGGGAGGCTCCCTTCTGAGCCTCTTTCTCTTCCCGTTATGCAGCTGTGGGCTATGCCCTCTCTTATCTTACCCATCTCTCAAGGTTCTTCTCACATACCCTTACAGGTTGCAACATGATGATAGAACACCTTCTTAAGGTATAGAAGAGTCCAGATAAAGGTAGGAAAGACTTTTTATTGGAACTTTGTAGAATTACAATAGGGCTGCCAGATATGGTCTGCAAGAATCCAGGCAACCCTAAATGGCAGCCAAGAGTTGCAGTTCTCTGTATTGCTTTGCTCCTATCTAGTGATCATCCTGATCCTCGGAGATCAAGATCTGGGAGCCCTCCCTAAGCCAGCCACTCTCGATACTACTGAGCTAGATGGACTGATGAGACATTGAGGGATGAATGTTGCCTTCCATTAGCTTTATGCAGCTCTTTTACATTTTTCTACCTCACCAGATTTTAGATAGGTAATGAGAAAAAAAAATGTGGGCGAGGAAAAAAAAACACACCAGGGAAACATAGGAGGATTACAAACTAGAGTTAGTGCCATTTTCCCAACTCTGTGCTAAAATTCAAGGAATGAATGACCAAAGTCATTCTGTGCCATCCAGGCAAGCTGACATCCCACAATGTCCAGCCTCTGATGGATGTCTATGATGGATGTGCAGTCCAAGCTATCCAGAAAATGTCAGGATTGGGAAGGAGGACGCATATTAAAAAAAAAAAAAAGGTTCAGTAACTCATTACGAGTGGATTCAGATATTGGATTGCCATAATGCGATTTGTCTTTGTCTCCTGACAGGGTTCACCTATGATTTTCTGTCTCCTTTTCTTCCCCCCAGGGGCTGGATTGCAGTACAAAGAGGACAGCAATGGTGAGTTCTGGCTCCCTTCCTTTGTTCCTTCTCAAGTTCTCACTGGGGATATATTTTGGGAGATGCCCCAGATTCAAACCTTCTCTTCAGCAGATTTGGCTCTGCTCATGCAAAACATTAAACCCCAAACCAGCAAACCCCATTCTGGTCTGGCATGTTATACAAACCCAGCCTGTGAGGTGATTTTCTGGTTCCCTGTGATATGTAAAACCAGCAAATCAGGCCCAATGAGCTAATTAGGGTTCAGTTAACTATGGGAAAATATATGCAAACATAGCCAGGATGTCTCTGTCCAAGTCATAAATTGTCTCCATAACCATGTTGGGCTAAAATGGAATTGTCTAGTTGCTGATTCAGGATTGCATGAACTTACAACCAAAAGATTTCCCAACCTCTCCTGTGAGAGGCCAACACTGCGGCCAGCCTGAATCTTTCCTCCACTGTATCCCAAATTGTTGACTGAGGATTGCATGATCAAGGCAGATGCTATCTTCATCTTGCAGTTTCACTCCCAGAGTGGCACCTTCAGGTCTGTTTCGGAAGAGGAGCAGGCCTTGCGGACTAAACTTGAGCGACTGGCCACCAGTGACCATGGTCCTGTGTTTGGGAAGTGTGAGAAAATCCCTGAACACACCCTGCAAAAGGTGAGCATCATGGAAAATTGGGGAGAAACCCAGAAGCAGGAGTTGAGGGCCATGTGCAGATCCAGAAGATGGCCAAGAAAACCACTTGGCACAGATCCATTGCCCAGCTAGCATTGCCACCTACTTTAGAGAGGACTGTAAAATACATTTTGCTGCAAGTTCCTTGTGTTATTTTGCATGTCACTCAGACCTTTTAATCTATCCTCCCCTACCTAACATTGATCATCCTATTCATATGAAGAGCTGTAACCATTTACTTCACAGCCATGGCCACCTAATCCTAAAATCCTGTAGTGCTTAGCCAAGTCTGGGTGATAAAGAGATCCCAGAGGACTAGATCCTGTAAGAGCTCTCCATTAGAAGGTGAGATCACCAGGCACCGAACAGAACAGCTGAACATCACAGCCCTTTTTCTCTTACCGGTCTTTACCTTTCATCTTCTCATCATTCCTAGGACCAGTGTTCCTTTTGTTCCAAAAAGATCTTCATTTGCATTTCTGTTGTACAGTAGGTTATTCCTTCTAGCCTGTTCTTGCTGTATTCTCATCATTCCTAGGACCAGTGTTCCTTTTGTTCCAAAAAGATCTTCATTTGCATTTCTGTTGTACAGTAGGTTATTCCTTCTAGCCTGTTCTTGCTGTATCTCCATTAGAAGGTGAGATCACCAGGCACCGAACAGAACAGCTGAACATCACAGCCCTTTTTCTCTTACCGGTCTTTACCTTTCATCTTCTCATCATTCCTAGGACCAGTGTTCCTTTTGTTCCAAAAAGATCTTCATTTGCATTTCTGTTGTACAGTAGGTTATTCCTTCTAGCCTGTTCTTGCTGTACAACAATACATTTATTCTGTGCTGTGAGGAAACAGTGGGATTCTATGAGTTAAGCAGCATGCTCAATGGGATTCAAAGGTATACTGTAGCTCGTCTCTGTATCTCATCAGAACAGCAACCCTCTGCTGGAAGTTTCTCCAGGTCCGAATAAAAGGGGACGCATCAGAAGAAACAAGCAGAGGAGAACCTTGAAGTTGCTTGTGGACACCTAGCCCTGGGGTAGCAGTATGAATGTGCCTTATAAAGAAGACTTCTGAAATTTGGCCGAGGATTGCGTAGTCTTAGGTCCTAAACACAAATACTGTAGAAACAGCTCCAACTTGGAATCACTATCCAACTGTGGACTATGGTGTAGGCAAGTCTGCAGGTTTGAATAGAGGGATTCTAGCCTGTATAGTGATAGCCCTTCAGGGTTCTGCCACTGCTTTTCCATCTTGACCTGCTCCCTGGGCCCCGCAGGTCATAGACTGGTTTTAAGATTTTAAAAGGCATAACTTGAAGGGGAGACCATTAGGCAAACACAGAGCTGTAGGATAGACTGTGAAGGAACAATAAAGTCCAAAAGACGGCACCATTAAACCCCTTCGCTATATTTGCAAAGAAAACTGCAGACATATCAGTGAAGTTACCTAGAGTCCAACGCAACTAAAAAAGGCTAATCTCTCCCACACTGAATGCTGCACTAACTACCATCAGACACTGGATGGCACCAAACCTCTGAACAATAAGGCAACTGTAGGCTCCAATTCAAAGGGTTGACTCCACTTGGATGTCAGTTCAGTTTAGTTCAAAATGTTGGTTTGATTCAGAACCACTCTTAGTATAGAAGAGGACCCACTAGTTTAGAGGATTGTTCCCCACGTATTTCAGAATTTTCCCAGTTACATACAAATAACAGTTACAATTTGGTTTCCACTTTTGGAAGGACTCTGGGACTGCACCCAGACCTCAGGTTGTGTACCATAAACCTTTTGGTTCTCTTTGCTAGGAAGGGTTTCCTCCAATTAGTGACCCAAGAACTACTTTCCCATCCTCCAACTCCTTCTCTACCCCATCAGGTTATCTTTGTCTCTCTTCCATAGGCTAAAGATGAATTGAACGAGACCCCAGAGAAACGGCAGTTAGCAGTGAAAGAGCTGCAGGAACTTATTCAGGAGAAAGCTCAAGGAGAAGACATCTGCAAAGCAGTTGCTGAGAAAATGCAGGGGAAGGATGACGCTTTCTTCCTTCGTTTCATGCGTGCCCGGAAGTTTGATGTCAACAGAGCTTACGATTTGATTAAAGGTGGGGATTCTTTGATTGAACCCTCCCCTGGACACCTACTCACAGATATGTAACATCACACTTTTTTGCTAGAGGTTTATTTATTTATTTAAACGATTTATAGAGCTGCCCACCTCACAGCAGTGACTCTAGGCAGCGTACAAAGATTAAAATCATCATCACAGTATACATTTGTGACGCTACAGTCAGACAACAACCCCCAAAACAAAGCCACACCACCAACAGAGCTGACCTAACTGCCTGGCCCCAAAAGCCTGGAGGAACAGCCAGGTCTTCAGAGCCTTACAAAAGGCCATCTGGATTTCTGGGTGGATGCTGTTCCACAGGGCAGGCCCAGTCACAGACAAGGCATGGCACTGGGATCCAACATGGTGGCATTGTTTGATGGAGGGAACCTGGAGCGTGCCTTCCCTGCTAGATGGGTGGTCCCGCAAATAGCTTGGTCCTGTGCCATGTAGGTCATTATAGGTGATAACCAGAACCTTGAATTGGATTTGGAAGCCTACTGAGATGAGTTGTATTACTCATCTAGCAGGTGGTGGTGCTGGTAATAGATGCCATTGCTATTTGTCTACTCGCCAGCTAGTAGGTCTCAAATTTCTGAGATGGACCATCTGCAGAGAGGTTCTGTTTGCACTTCCTTGAATGCCAGTTAAAACATCTGTGCAAACAGGAATCCTGATAGAAGCAGGTCTTCTGCTCGCATAAGGGCTTCTATTCACGCTCAAGTCCATGCAGGTCAAATTACGTTTTTGGGCATCCAGATTATTAATTTTAAAAATCATCTTTATGACCTGGGCCTCCCTCAAATTAAAACGGGCAATTTCCATATCACAACAAAAGCTTTTTGTTTATTGATCTATTGATCAGAGTTGATTAACTTGTGGTTGAAAGTAGGCAGCTCTAATTGGAAAACACTACCTCTGCTGCTAGTTCCACCTTGGAGACTTCAGGTTTTAATTATTGAGCCATTCATTCATTTAGCATTTCTGATGTGGCATCGTTAGAG